AATCGACTTAATTAGCTGATTACGAGTGAATTGCTGTGTTATGTCTGTCATCGTTTAGGCCTATTTGAAGTTTTGGACGGAACTTGGCTCAGTGATTTGGAACTAATTACGAGATAACCGTCGCTATTCAGACTACTATTTCTGACAGTTGGTATCCGTAGTTATTAATGTAGTGAATGATTAATCAAAAGATATGACGTATTCAGTACTTAGTGTGATTGGCTTTATGATTGAAGGTTACGCCCTAGAGTCTTTTTACTATTTTGTAATTGGTTAGAGTTTTGAAAATGAATAAAGAGAGTTTTGAGTTGGTCTTGGCGAGTACACTAGGAGAGACACAGTCTAGAGTCCAGTCTTGGAGAGTCTTGAGACGCACGCAGTCTAGGGACAGAGTCTTGGGTCAGCCTTGCGATAGTCTTGGGGACTTTTCCCCAGGGCACTGTGTCTTATAGAGTGCTCGAATTACCGACTAAGACGAGAGTTGAAACGTATTTCGTTGTGTGTGTCTATTTGACTGTAAGGCTAAAGTGACTTTCCCCGATCCCGCACCTCAAGGGAACGAGATATGGAAACAGAGACGAGATTCCCCCCTGGCACGTGTGGAGAACCCCGAGGAGAAGAATTTACCCCTGATACGTGAGTGGAGATCCCGGGCAGGTGTTTAACACACATTGACATCCTGTGAAGAAAAGTGAAATGGCGAAGGTGTGTCTTTCTTGCGAACCGAACTAACAGCTCGACCACAAAGACAAAACCGCGCTTGACGACTAACACCGTTAACAGCATGGCACCGATGTACAACGCTGAAGAGATGAAGACTTCGGAACCCCTTACGAAGGACGAGTATCGATAGGACAGTATAATCAAGAATTGAACGACATTAAAGACAAGAAGATGATAAAGAACGACCGGACTAACGCGTTGACAAGAGGAGACGCTTATAGACTTTGATTAGAACTTTAGCTATTTGTATAGAGAATCGCTCGCTGGACACTGTAACTGACACTGTGTAACTCAAGACGTTAAACTCTTTTTTTTTCAGAATCCTAACCCTATTGTTCAGTAATGTAATGTATTGCTTGCTTTTCCTATCGGTTTTTCTTAACGTTTTTTTCGTGATGTTGAATTGTATGTATGTAAGCGCCCATATTTTTGTTTTGAACTGATATTTAGTGACGTGCGAGGTCCTTTATAACGATTTACGCGCGCCTCAGTGGACAAGTATTTGCAACACAGTGTTTTGAGTTTTGTGAAGTTTGATGGTGTTTTAATGAGTTTATGAGTATGGAATATGATGGGAGGAATGATGCCCCCACGAGTTTTAAGAGTTTTGAGATGTGTCGAGTACAGAGATATCGACGTTTTAAGAGTTGTTTTTGTTTTCGTGTTGTTTTCGGAATACTTCTAACGTTTTTTAATGTCTTTTTGGAATGAGAGTATGGTGCGCTTATATACGTATTGTTTGATAACGCAAGCTTTTGTTCATGATTGACAGGATTATATGTAACTTACTAGTGTCTATCGTTTTAGCCCGTCTTAAGATAGCTTTGTCTTTTCATTCCGTTTCCACGCCGTATGACTTTTGTTTAGATTAACGACTTGTGAGTTCAGTTGAAGTTTATAAGCGTATATGACAGGAGTTTGATTAATAGCTTTTTATTCATTGTTTATTAGTTACCGCTTTGCAATGCTTTAACCGAGAGACGCATCCCTGGTAATCACGTGATCGTGCTGTCGACGGCCGCGATTGGCCGATCGCTTGGTTACACCGCCACGCCTTAGTTTTTTTGACCTTTTGATATAGAGTTTGTAACCTTAGTAACGAGAGACAGTGCAGCGAAGGGTTACCTCAGCGGACCGTTTTGAGAAAAGTGAGTCGATTGGTAGCCTTTCCCTTGTTTTTTGATTTATAACCGTTGATATTTGAGACTTTATAACCATTGTATTTAGACTTATAATCAGTTTATTAATTAGTGTGTTTTACTCTTTTTGAATTATACCTTTTCTTTGTATTGTATTTAACCTGTATGACGATGAGTAGAGGACGGTATCTTTGATTTGTGAACGTGCAATGCCGGGAGGCATAATCTCAGTTTGGGTGAAGGGATGTGTCATGAATTTGTTTTTGCGTATCTGTTATT